AGGAATGTCCCACCCCACAATAGATTCACATGGGTTTACAAAGCACTATATAACTTTACCTAACTTATTAAGTAAATACACTGGTAGCACTTCAGTAAAAAAAGTCTTATGAATGCTAATGATACTATTAAAATATCCTGTCCCTCCTGTCAAAGCACATTCCAAAACTGCATTTCTCTCTGCTTAAAATGTTTTCAAACTGCTGGCTAAGCAATGCATCAAGGTATTTGGGTAGACATTCACACAATTTCATGTTATCATGTCAAGTATGGATAGCAAGTGTGATTTCCTTTCTGAATCATCTTGTCTTGGAAGTCAATCTTTGCTACGGTTTTAGACGTACCCTTCAGCTAAGTACATTTTTCGAGCTGGAAAAGTAGTTCTTGTTCATTATGCCTGAGGGCAACGCTGGACTGGTGGGATATTAAGGACTTTTTTTTAGTGCTTCTTCTACCAAAGAAACTATAATACACAGACCTAGAAATAATTATAAACAGGGTCCTTTACCTCTGTAACAGTCACCAGATGGCATATTTAGTAAGACCCTCTGGCTGAGTTCTTGCAGCCAGACTAGACCAAATGACACCTGACAGGGCAGTAGAGATTAGCCAATTACATCTTCATTCCCTGGTCTCAAACACAGATATTAACATTATTAAATTCTGATGTCCACAAAAATCTCTATAGAATCAGGAAGTGAATAATTATCAACAGGAGATTCTGCCATTGCTTCACAGAGTCCTTCCAAAATAATTTTGTGCATCTTTCTTTAAAAATGACCTTTAATGAGATTGTTTAGATTTTGGGAGTCTTGGTTAAAGCTAGCTGTCCCGTAGCCAGTTTGAGTGTCTATGCATATCAATGCATGGTTCATGAGAATCAGCAGCACAGAACAACTAAGTCCAGAAAAATGTCTGTAATGTAGGTGGTTAAAATAACTACAGAACCTATAACGTAGCATGACAAAACCCATGGCATTCAGTCTCTTCCCCCCCATCCTTTTTTTTAAACAAAATACAAAAATACTTTAGTAACATATACCATTTTCTATCTTTGCAGAAACCTGTTGTCTCAGCCTGGAGAAGAGAAGGCTCAGGGGAATCATACCCATGTTTATAAATATCTGATTGGTGGAGTAAAGAAGACAGAGCCAGACTCTCTTCAGTGACGCCCAGTGACAGGATGAGATGCACCATGCAAAAAATGAAATACTAGAAATTCTATTTAAATAGAAGAAGAAACTTTTTCTACTGCGAGAGTCGTTCAACACCGGAACAGGTTGCCCAAAGAGGTTATGGAGTCTCTCTCCTTGGAGATATTCAAAACCTGACTGGACATGACCCTGAGCAACCTGTGCTAATTGACTGTGCTTTGAGCAAGAGGAATAGACGTCTTCCCAGGTCCCTTCTGAACTCTACAGTTCTATGGTGATACATCTATAATGATGTGATTGCAGTAAACTGACTCAAATAAAGAAAAATTATTAATTAGTGTTACAAGCACAGGTTCAAATTTAAAGTGCTCTTGGCAATAGAAAGGAAATCAATCTTACTTCCTGCTTAATCCTTTATAGAACACCAGTGCTTTCATTTTCTGCATGTATAATTCCATCTGCTGAGTCTCAGAAATGTTAGTAGTCAGAGCCTACATCTTGAATTAAGGTAAATGAATAAATTTGCAATTCTTCAGCTAAAGATGAGTTAATATAGGAATCTATTGCACTACTACTCTGTGTTGTCTCTCTTGGTCCGTTACCACCATTTCCTTTGTAACAGCAAACACATAACTCACCAACACTCGCTCCCGCTGGAATCTGACATAACCTGCTGACATGCAAAACTGACACAGCAAGTTTAGTGACCCAGCACAGCAAAAAATGATTACACATCTCCTTCAGTTCCCCCATGTCATTATATGAATTTCTATAGCATGCCTTAGAATAAAATCCTGTAAACCAAGGATACTGCTGTACTACAAGTTTTAAAAAATACTAGTGGTATTTAGCCCTTTTTAGAAAATTGAAATGATTGCCACTGGAACCACAGCAGTTCTAAATGACTAAAATGAAATGATACCTATTTAGTAAGATTCACTATGTCATAAGCAAGACATCTGCTTTGCTTGAACTGATATATGCTATTCTGACATAAGTTGGACTGTCTTCTGGTACTGAATATTCTGGATTCTGTCTATATGGTGCAATTATTTACTTCTCTGAAAAAAGATTTTTCTGCTTTGCTGTCCTAGAGGGTCACTAGTAGAAGGTAGAAGATTCTCCAATTTCAGCTTTTCTTGTATGCTACCCATTAAAACATGTTAAAAGCAAGAGGGATCAACATCCTACAAGTAATCAAATCCCAGGTGACTACTGTAGCTGTATCATAGCCTGAGTTACAGGCAATCTGAGCTGGGGGCCAGGAGAGAATTTTTTTCTGTTCCCACATCCGATGACCAGCTTTCCAAATTGTATGGGTGAGCAACATTTTTCATCCAAGCAACTGAGATAGTTCAATATCAAATAAAGAATCTTAGAGACTTTAGAAACTCAGATTTAACCCAGTGCTTCCACTATCTATTTCTTTTCCACACATGCTTAATCACTACATTTCAAAGGAAAGCAGTGGGAAATAAAATCCATTTATCAAGGAGATAAAAATGCATTTTTAATCCTTGTAGGGAACCACCAGGTGCAAAGATATATGAGAAGAATCTAATATAAATATTACCCAAATAATTTAAATTAAATGGATATCAAGTCTCTTGTTGTGGATTCATGAACTCAAGACACCCAAAGATGTATATCACAGACTTAATGTTTAACTGCAGAATTACTCTTACGATGTTGTCATACAACTTTTTCTATGAATACACATGCTTTGTCTTGAAACAGTCTCAGTTCATTGCCCTATCATAAAAAGTAATTTCAGAATTTCATTCTGTGACCAATTTACATCCACTTGACCTGTAAGAGTATTATCTTTTAATTTAAATAATTCTTCTGCCTTCATAATATTTCCTCCATGAATATAAGTAGAAAGTCAAAATCTCATCTCTTCATAGAATAAAGAAACAAGACTTTGAAACAGTAATAATTTGAAAAGCATGCTGCAATCTTTTCATCAAATCCATAATCTAATTTGTCTTCTGGGACACATTACACAAAATAGAAAGGAAACGATAAAAAAAACAAGTTGAATACCACACTAGCACACCTCCCGTTTACAAGCTAAAGCTGAAATTTGTAAGGATGCAGAATTAAATCAGAGAGTCTCCAGCCATTTTCATTTTAACTGTGTGATTTGTAATTAATTTCCAAAGATGTATATACTGAAGCACTTACAGACACCTGAAGAGAAAAGGCCAAAAGCTGCTAATGCTGGCTTTTCCTTTAGTTGTTGAATTAATTGGTTTATTGCCTTCCAGTCAGCATTCAAGTCTTCCAATTTTTTCTAGAATAGAAAATAACAAATTATTAAATTTATAATACATAAATTAATGTAAATAAATGTAAAATAAATTTTTTTTTCCTCCATCTGATGGACCACCTGAGGTAAAAAGAAAAAAAAAAACCACAACAAAGCAACAGAAAGGCAGAAACAGCAACTAATTTTCACAAATGGGAGAGAGGGACAAGTAAAATCCTTCCCAGTTGGGCTGCAAAAGAGCTTCATGGTGTCAAGGTCCTGAAAGCATCTTTCCTCCTCAGGGCCAACTCAGAGCCAGAGCAGTTGCCTGACCCTGACCACAGATTGATTTCCTGGACCAGCCTCAGCCCATTCCCATCCCCATGGCCCTGCCCAGCCACCTGGGGCTGTGTTTGACTCTGGTTCCCCTCACTGTGTCTGATCCTGACCCCTACCCAGGGGCAGGCCCCCAGCCTGCCCTGCTTCTTGGCTGGGGGTGGCAGGAGGGGCCCTGGCTGGCAAGACCCTGTCCTGCAGCCTAATGGGGAGCTCCCGCTGCTCCCTGCTCCCAGGGAGCACTGGCTTGCCCTGCTCCATGGTTGCCAGGCCTTTACAACTCTTTAGGGAACATAGGATGACTTCTTCTTTAACACGCTGTAGAGAGGTGAGGTTTTTTATCACCACAAACCTGAGATGCTAATTTTTTATTAAAAAAGATGAATTATGTATTAAAAAAACCCTTGTCAATAAACCTCTGCAATTTGTAATATCAAATGCAGAACACATTCTTCCACCTATTAAAAAAAAAAAAGTGAAAAGAATGTTTTAAGAGTCTTCAGGGAGTCATAAACTTCAGTGAGTGGGCACTCAGTCCTGACCAGTAATGGCTAAACTGTTACTTTTAAACAAAACCTAAGTGAAAGTCTGGAGTGTGAATTACATCAGTCCTCAGATAACCCTGAGAGGCATTTAGACTTGAAAATGTTGTTTCTACCCTTCTTTCCTCCTTGCTCTAAGCACTGTAAAGAAGGATGAAGCATTGCTAATTCTATGCTGGCATCTCTAAACCCCTAAAATGAAGACTGCATTTCTTTTTTAAGCTGCTCCCTGACTGTCTGCTACAAAAAGCAGCACAGAGTACCAGTGCCACTCAGGAATGCTTTTAGTATTCTTGTGTCCAATTCGCAATGAGATATACAGTCTAAATCACAATCCAGCCATGATGGAAACAGGATGCCTATTAAGAAAGGTACTTTAATTACCTAGAGTCTAAGATGACAGGGGTCAATAGGAGAGGGACAGGGAACAATACTCATTAAATTGAAGTGTGTACACACACACAGACACCAAGGTAGCACAATTTTATATTCTGATATGTCAGGGGAGCGTTTCTAGAATTTGCCTTAAGCTTTGCCATAAATACTCTAAACCTGCAAAGTTCTTTTATCTCTGTCACCAATGGAGGCCAGAATATTACCTGGTAAAACTCTGGACAGATTTCTGTGTAAATGCTTTTCAATAGGACAGGAGAGAAAGGATACAATTCTGCGTTAGGGAATAAACCAACTTTTTAATCTTTAAGAGCAGTTTAAAAACTGCATTGAAAATAAAATAAGAAGTCAGGAAGATCAGAGATTCTCCTTGATAATAGACTATGAGGACTAGGCAGAAAAAGCAATCATGTATGCATGATAAAAACAACTTGTCATATGACAATTCAAAATCACACATATGTTTTATTTCTGTGTGAATTGGACACACAAAAACACATACTTGGGACACATTTTATTGCAGATTTTAAATTTCCTTTTTTTTTCTGCTGTTGTAGCCCAAGAACCTACTTCCAGAGCTTAAAATGCAAAGGACTGCTCCAATATCTATTAATTCCATAGTAGGAGAGAGTGCAGAGAACCCTTAAAAACAAAAGCTGGAGAGATTACAAAGTCTGGCTTCATTTTACAATATATTCACAGTAACTCAGGAAGGAGATATGGATGTTATAAATATAATACTGGTCCTCACTATGAATAGCTGCTTAATCATTCATGTGGATGTGAGACAGGGATTTCTTTCCAGCATTGACAAAATATAAAACATGCCGACCACAGACACTAGAGAGGGTTGTCTGAGGCAGCATCTACGGCACTAATAAAAGAGTAACTAGATTTGATCCAGTCCTGCATCTGCCATAAATTAGCATGAGTGCATTAAAACGTTAACTTCTTTGAGCACAACAATTTTGCTGTAATTGCAATTCTAGAGCTTTAGTGACAAGTATGAACATCAAAATATGTCGCATTGAGGAACACTTTTATTGATTTATCGATTTCCTTTAAATGTCAGCACCAACACAATTTAAGTGAGGTTAATATTCATACATGAACTAATCTCATTGACAGCACTAAAACTAGATAGGAGTATTTAGCGAGAGAAATGATGTAGTCTTTTAAATGCAAGACTAAGGACAATGAAAATTAGTTCCTCACTACTTATTCTCCCACCCAACACAGGAAAGGACAAATTGAGTGCTGTGGCAAGGGAACTACAGCTCTTCTGCAGCCACAGAAATCCTTTCCTGAATGAACTGTTCTGTTTAAGTGCTGTTAATCATGAGATTGGGGTTTATGTTCTTTCCGTTGCCACTGTCACCAGCAGTAACCTCTCTCTCCCCCACCTGCAAAAGCTTTACAGAAATGCATTTCAAAAGCATGAAATCCATTTTATAGAAGTGAATATGTCTGATTATTAAAGTGCTAGTGCTTAAAGGATCACACATCTCATCCCATTCTTGACTCTTGAATCAGCATATACTAGGATTTCATTCGCCAACAAAAAGATTTTTACAGTCCTGCGTTGCAAAATTCCAATATCAACACTTTTAGTATGCTTAGCGAAGGTGTGAAAATATACTTATTTCAGTGACATAACTATGAGATAAGATTAAGTATGTGTCAATATAAATCCATGGGATTTAATTTACATTCAAAATACTGTAACGAAAGTATATTTTAAAGATTGCAAAGATAAACAGCTAAACATTAGGAAATGTCAGAATAATGTCAACTATGAACATTAATTCAGATATAATGTACATAATTGCACCAATATCCTTAATTCTCTGACACATACTGTTTTCCAGCACAGGAGAGGCTTGCGGTGTGAATGAGTCTATAGGACCTCTACCTCATTTATTGAAAAGAATGGGAAGATTTGTGGTGAATTAAGGAAATCAGAGAGGAAAAAAGGAAGCTAAGACAAAGGTGCCTCAGAGAACTAAATAATCTACATTGTCAAGCAATGCTATGCAAGTAATTAATGCTTTTAAAGAGGCCATGTAATTTTGTCTTTTTTTCCTGTGACAGAAACTAACAAGGAGTATGAGTCCAAGTATTGAATTGCTGCCCACACTGTGAGTGGTATCCATATCCTGTACTGAATTAGGCAGGGTTCAGCCTAAACCAAGGCCACCACAGCAGCTTTAATTCAAGAATTTTCTAAAATTGAGTACTTAACTTTGCAACCTTGCTAATATATTTTCAAAACCACCTTAATCTGAGTACAAATTATTTCTGCTTCCATAAAATACCTTCTGTGTAGAAAATGATTTTGACATTTGCTGAAAAGTCTATATTGGAACATATAAATAGCAGACAGTGCTGGAAGTTACTAATGAAGAACGATGACAGAAGACCAACTCAGTATAAATGGGTGGAAGCTTAGGGAAACCTACATCATCAAGAAAGCAATTCAACAGTCCTGACAGTATATATTCACTGTTTCATGACTTATTGTACAAGACAGACAGTGAACCAGAAATTAACTTCACAGGTCTTTCAATTAAGTGAACTACAGAATGCAATGAAAAAAAGTAAAACACAATTCAAGAGGGACTAGAAACGAAATACTCACTACTCCACAAGTAGTTACTAATTTCCTCACAGACACATTTTATAATATCATTGTCAAAACTACAACTCAAGGAACATCATAATCTTTATTTAAAGAGTTATCTTGTTCCAATAAATCTGGTAGAAATTGGCAGTTTTCAGTGTCTTTGAACACTTAAAAGAAATAGACACTTCTATGTCAGAAGTTTGGCCTAAACAGAATCATTTCACACCATTTATACTTCTGTCAGTGGTACGTAAAAACAAGTACTAGTTCTTCTCCTTGAAAATGCCAGCATTCATTCTTCAATTCTTTATATGCAATTACAAAAATCTAGAAAGCCCAAATCTCTAGTTTTTTGTTATTTCACATGCTTTGCTTGTTAAAGTGTGGAGTGAGATCCCCTAAGACTGCAGCTGAAGTCATATGAAATGAGTAAATGCAGTTATTGCAGAGTGATTTTTGTTCCATCATCCATTCAGAGTGCAGATGACGTTTCAGTTCCTAACAATAATAGCGCTGTACTAGCCAAGGAAAACACCCGACACAGAGTCAAAAGCTTTGGTTTTGCCCACTTTAAAATTATCACGTTACTTTTAAGTCACCTTGAGTTTACCTCTTTTAGTGTTTTGTCACTGTTTAGGAAAACTGGTCATTAAAAAAGGCATAGATACCAAAGGGGAAAATAACTCTTAAGGATTTCTGTTCAGGAAAGAAGAAAAGAAATCAAATCATTCTTAAATATGTATTAATTTCTAAAGTGGAGAGTTTCTAGATTTCAAAATTTCTAAACTGCATTCATGTGTTCCTGTGAATGGAGATCTGCTGGTGGGATTTATAAGTAATTTAGAGGAAATTTTGTAAAAGTAGGAAAATAGTACTCGACGTATAGTGACTAAATAGAGATGGAAAAACAAGAAATTTGCTGTAGAGGTCACCTACAGACATCCTAACTTTCTGAGGAAACCTTCTTCTGCAAAATGAGTTTATTGACTGCTGAGGGTTTGGAAAAGCTCTAAATACAAAGACAAAGTTTACTATCCCTGCCCAGTCAGAAGCAATTGTAATAGATACTTAGTGTGATCAATAAGCCACTATTACAGGTTCTGGGAACTCTTAATCATCATGTTCACAGATACTTTATTAGCAGTTATAAGAGCAGAAACCAGATCAAGCTCTGGTCGGTATGGTAATGACCTTACTAGTTTGGTCTCCCACTCCAAAAGCAGCTGAACCACACACGGGAGGATGCTTGCTGATTGTTTTCTGCTTCAAGATTCTACAGGATAGAAAATGATACTCTAGTCTCAATGAAGGTCTACATAGCCTTTAGAAAACTGAGTGTAAAATATCCCCTTCAAACTGATTTCTATGCTGGGGAAAAGGATTCTATAGTACATTTTTCTAAAAAAATGTTGGGAGGCATTAGCCTACTTAACAATGTATCCTCTGCTCCAAAGCAGAATCAAGTGAGTCATTCTACATGAATTTGGCAGAGAAACTGAGTGGCAAAGTTCTGTATTGCCATGTCTTCTTTCCTTCACAATGGAAAATTTTTAAAGGAAAGGGCCCTCTTTGTGACTTGACTCTTACCTTTTCTAGAAAACATGTTCATTTTTTTTTAATTGACAAATTTCTGAAAGTGAAATTCAAAATAAGGGAATTTAAAAACATGTTATATGATGCTATTAATTAGGCACCAAAAATTACATTTGCTTTCAATGTGGATTACTCTTGAAGAGGTAGAACAACCTTCATGTCAAAAACAATATTCCCATCATAATATGCAAAAATTTTCTATCTGGGAACATTACATTTTTCCTGGCTATCCCATCACAGAACAGAACAAATGCCATTTGCCAAGTTCTTTCATTGATTTTAAACAGAGCACATCAAGGACAAGTGTACAACAGGGGAAGCATAACCCATTACACAGTAATGGATATTGCTAAAGGTTGCTTCATTACCTTTACTGGATGAGTGGCTGGTTTTTCCTTATATAAATGACACCCTTTAGACAAAACCTCTTCCACATTCGGCTGTTTAGCCTGCACTGCTGCTTCAGTTTCCTGAAAAATAAAAACACATGCAGTGTAGATTAACCGTAGCATAAGCAATAAGACTGAAAAGTCTTAAAGCTCCATGGGAAGCTGTAAAACACCAGTAGATTAGTTTCTGCTCAGGATTGGTTTCTGGGAAAACTTATGGAGAGTAGCAGCTAAGGACAAAGAGCTTCACCAGAGAAAACAAAAGCAGAGGGATGGAAAAGAGTAATGCTAGCAAAAGAGACAACGATAGGTCCCTTCATCCTGAGGGTTTCAGTAAAACGATTACAAAGCTAACCCAAATTCATACGAGGAAAGACAAGCATGAGAAATCTCATTTAAGCAGCTCTGTTCTTTTGTCTGTTTTACATTACCAGCAGATTAAAAGTGCACTGGTTAACATTTTGTTCATACAGTACGTGGCATTAAAACCATATCATGAGATGCAACAATGATACTGAATTCAGGAAGATTAAAAATATTGATGAACTGAAAAGTGTAAAAGAAAAGATAAACTACACCTGGAGTTCCAAGATTCATATTGTTTTCATTTTTCAAGTAACATAAGAAAAAAAAAAAAAGAAAAAAATACAGAGTTATCTGAGATACTAGAATTAACTGGTTGGTTTGTTTTCGTTTTCCTCTCTCCACTCTTCTCCCGCCTATTTAATAGCTTGGCTATCTTGTCGTAACCAATATTGCAGACTATCCACTGACTCTCCAACTTGATTTTCTGTCCACAATCTCGGTTATCATTAGTGTGACAGCAGACAAGATTGTGTGCCAGGCTTGCCACTATCTGATCCGACACATCATTTCATTGGCGGAAACCTGCTATTCTTTGCTCTGCAATAAACTTGTTGAAATATATGTCATTTTAAGTCTCAGAAAGGGGCCATTTTGTTCCTCTGTTTCAGCTCAACATAGAAAACAGGTTTACAATGCTGCCTGAAATTTTACTTGCAAAACTTTACGGACAATCAGTCAAAAGAAAAAGTGTACATAAATTCACTGTCATCTCCCATTTTTGTTTTCAAATATCATTTATCAATAGCAAATGAAGTGAATTAAAGCTTGTCTGATTTCTTGCAATGATATTTGAAACATGTTTGCATTTAATTGCTTTTTAGTACGCATTTCAATATTAATGAGATATAACTGTAAGGATTAATAGAGAATTCATTGCACTGAAAAGCAATGCATAGCAAAATTGGGATATTGGGTGGGGGAGTTTATTAACCTCTTGATCAAACCCTCATTAAAGTCCTATTTTCTTTCTGTTTCAATACTAGGTTAGCTTTCTAATTCCCTGATCACCATATAAAGAAAAAATAATCTTCAAGGAGTGTTAATGAAGAAGGTAATTTTTCTGCCTATCTTGATGAAATATAAGCATTTTAATATTTGTTTGTTTAGTTGTTTTTTTTTTTTAAACAAAGCAGTATTTTGCCAATATTTTGTGTTGTGTTATTGTACATGTCTCAAATACTTATGTTATTTTATAACAGCACCAGGTATCATAAAAAAATTCTGCAGCCGGAAAAACACGTTACAACTCCCTGGGGAGTACAAGAATATCAAGATCACTATGGGTGCACCTACGCTGCTGGTTTAACCTGCAGCATGGATGTGCCTTTGAAGTGGATCTCTCAATCTTCCCCACTCACTGGGCTTTGGTTTCCACTGAGGACTGGTCTGGGAGAACACAAATTGGTTTCTGTCAGGCTGTAACCAGTGTGGAAGGCGCACTCTAGGAGGGCACCTAACACAGTCCCAGGCCCTGAGGGCACCACCAGCCCTGACTGCTGCTGCCCAGACCCTTGGGGCCCCCCTCACAGCCCAGGACTCCACATCAGCCCCCTGGTTTCCAGCTCCCCACAGCCCAGCCCTGCCTGGGCATGGGTCCTGCTGAGCTGGGACCACCCGTGGGCCCATCCATGTCCCAGCCTGGCCTTGGCCCATCCCCAGGGAGGTGCCCAAAGCCCAGGGCTGCCCCAGTGCCTCTGGGCTGCCCTGCTCCTGTCTGGGCAGTGGGATGGGCCCAGGCTGCCAGGCCTTGCCCTCAAAGCACCTCAAGGGGAGCCCTCCAATTGCCCTGGCCCACAGGGAGCTGCTGGCCCTGCAGGGCCCAGGCAGCAGTAACAAGGATGGAGCAAACCCAAGCACTTACTGGTCCCTCCCAGGTCATTTTAACCACTTCCCCTTAACATTTTCTAGACGTGATGAAAAGCAGAGGCTCTTTCAGGAGGCTGTCTTAAGCTTTGTCATGTATTTGATCTGACTAGGTTTGTAATACCAGTCATTAACAATAACAGCCAAGTTCTACCACCAGGAATTGAAAATTCAAACCCAGAAGAACTTGGCGAGGGAAGGCACTCCGCACTAATTAAAAGGACTGTTCATAACAGCAGTTACTACTCAAGTCCTGTGGCTGTAACAAAATTTGGCTGCTCAGTATTTATTTGTACTCTACCTTCTATATTTAAATTTGAATCACAGTTTACCATATACACACATATAAATAGGCTAATTTCCCTTTTAAAAAGAGAAAAAGAAAAAAAAGCAAAATGAATGACTGATGGTGCCATGTGACTCCACGTTCTGCAGAAAAGAAGAAAACATTTAACGATCCTTTTCATTGTCATTATTTTACGCTAATACTAGTATACACAACACAAAACCTAAGATATCCCATTTCTACATATTAAGTAAACATTTGATAAGGTATTCTTTATGGATTCAAAAGGTATTTATTCTTTATGGATAGAATACAGGTATAATTTTCCATAGCCAGGTAAAAGAAACATAATGTATTTAGGTGTTAAATCACTAGTTCCTTATGGTCTACAATTTTCTGGAGTTACATGAACTATTCTTGTGTAGTCTGATCTTTCAAAATCAATGGCTTTGATCTAAACTGAAATGCATTGTGCAAGTCTATCCAATACAGCATGATGCTTCATTTGAGATTTATGTGGAAATAAGAATAGAGTCCAGGGGAAAAAGAGGTTCTCAATATCTTATCATTCATTTGGACACCGCTGAAGTTAACAAATATCTTCTTTGCTAGAGCAGCAACTACTTTTTGATTGTCACACATTAATTCCAACATCATCTAAAAACATCACAAAACAATTTTAAATAAGTCCACACCTGACATTAAATCACTGCAGTAACTTTGAGGGAGTTCTTTGCCCAGTTCTCTGCCTAATGGGATAGCCCCTTGACAAATTCTGCCCAGAGAGCACATTTCCAGCAATTTCAAATCTATTTGCTAGGTGACACCCTGTTAATATGGGTTGACAGGCAAGAGAGCAGTTTCAGGATACTGCTCCATCATTCAGTTCCCAAAGAGAACAAAAATGTAACGACCGTAACATGGCCTCCAATGGTTCACTCGCAACAAAGAGACCACAGTTATTATCTAGCCTGTGCAGGATCTAGGAGAATAGCATATTCCCAGAGCAGGGCCTGATGTCTGCTCTTGATCACATGGGACAGGCTACCACTAAAGCTAACAGGAATTGTCCATGTCCACGTCCATCGGTTTTTAGAGAATACCAAAGCCGCAACTTTTAAAAAGTCCGGAATCAAGATCATTGACTCCTCTGCCACGCTGGCTTTGCTTGCTGTGGGAGGACGCAACACTATCTCTGGAAGACAGAGCTGACTCTACTGGAATTGCACAATTTACAAACTGCCTGTGAAAGGAATGGTAATGCTACGTCTGGGCTGGGTGATGAATATGCTAATTAAACTTTTCACACATATGGCAAATTAAAATACATCATCATTGGAAACTGCTCTTTCTCAAACATATATAAACAACAAGAATCAAACAGAGGCCACCTTTTTTCCATGACGTACCATCTATGAATTTTCAGTGGTGTTAAAATGGTGCATCCAAACTGATGAAATCCTACTGCTGAATAAGCCACATTGGCTTCTGCATTTCCAACAT